CGTGAGATCGTATATCTAAGCAGTATATTGAAATTGATTGTCCATCATCTATCCTCTTATACAATAAGAGTATGGGAGGCGTTGATTTACTTGACTCGCTTATTGCTCTATACAGAATATCAATTAGGTCCAAAAAGTAGTAGCACAAATTCTTTTATCACTTTATTGACATTATGGTTGTTCAAGCATGGCTTTTGTATAGAAGAGACTGCACTGATTTAAAAATAACAAAAAAGGAACAATCACCCCTATTGTAATTCAAGGCAGAAATTGCACAAACTCTGTGTATAAAAAATAAAGTAAATGGTTCTAAAAGAGCGCGTCCATCTAGTTTACATGTATCCACAGCATATGAGGAAAAGAAAAGGAAATACCATGCAACAGCACTAATTCCCTGCGCAGCGGTCAGAAAAGATGGAATGTGTCATTGGCCTATATATTTTGAAAAGAAAGGAAGATGCAAATTTCCTTATTGTAAAGGAACTCACAAAGTTCAATGCCAAAAGTGTAAAATATTTCTTTGTTTTACTACAACTTCTACTTGTTTTAAGAATTTTCGTACCGAATAAAGTTTTCATATAATAAATTTTTATTTCACTAAATGTAGTTTAATTACATATTGGTGCTTTGGTGCTTATAGTACACAGTCCAAATTTCCAAAAAAAAGGGGAGCCGACTCAAAAATTAAATTAGGGAACATTTATGTTCATAATTAAAGTCATATCCAACGAAAAAAAGTTTTTTAGTTTGCATCATGGACGTATAAACAAAGATGGACCGGTCTGTTTACATCTATACTTGAAGTCATGAGATATTCACAGTCATAGGCACAAATCCCTGATTTGACGTTGCCATATTATTTTTTTTTCCGAGTCAATCTTCGAAATAATTTTCGATTTTTAGTGTAATTTATTTTTAATCTATTTTTTAAGTAAAAATGTATTATCTAGTTAGTATAAACCATTTTTAGATATACTCATTTCGCAACCAAGGAATTAAAAGAAAAAAATTAATTTTTTAATTTATTAAAAGAAAATATATTCTGATAATCTTAACATTTGTAAAACTTGGCATCGTTGGTAATATCAACCAATCCTAACGATTTGACGCAAAGGAATATGGCGTTGTATTGTTTACCTTTGAGTTGATAATTTCCTTATTTGTGACATTTTAGTAAATTTGTTAATATATTTTAAATTAGAAGTGAAGAATAGTTTATAGTTAAGTGTAATAATGGTGCGTAACTGTGTTGTATGCAGAAAAACTTCATATTTACATCCAGAACTGTCATTTCATTAGTAAGTACTGTAAACATTGGAATTTTGTCCATAGGCGTAGTACAGGGATGTGATAATACTGAATGCTTGACATGAATTGAAGTTTAATTTTGTAGTATTATAAATACATTTATTTATTTTTTCTAATCTACACTATAATTGCTATAAATATATTAATTTCAATGAAATATATACATATCTATAGGTTATGTTCATTGTACGAAAATTAAATTTAACCAAATATAATGCATACTCGTAGCATATTCCATAATATTGATAGCATGTCTTTTTTCTTTTTTGTTTAATAATTCAATGTTTTAGTTCTACAAACGATATGGAAAATAAAGCAACAGCTTCCAGTAGTATTGATAAGGATGATTTTTATGGACCTTCAAAAGAGTAGGTTTGTATCGAATTTGTTTATTAAATTTACAAATAAAATCTAAATGTGGATTTTGATTACTTATTTCATTTTAATATTAAAATATTTTAGAAGTTTTATTGATACTGAAGAATGTAATATGGAGACGGACTTGGGCTTTAATGTAAAATCTAATTCTCCTAAACTATTAAAAAGGAGGTGAGTTTTGGCTATATTTTGTATGAGATTATTTCAAACTTAAACCAATTTTAATACTCTTCTTTAATGTACATAAATTAAATATTCTAGATGTTTAAATGACAATGAAAACAACAAGGAAAATATAGATACAGAAAACGCATCTTCGAGCACCATTACAGCATCAGAAACTGAAACTGTAGAGTTGTTACTTGGTGATAATACTTTTTCATATGTTCCACGTAATATTTATAAAAAGTGAGTTTTTAGTTTAATTTATAAAAACAAAAATTATGATTATCTAATTAAGTATATGTTTTAGAAATAAAACCGTTGAAGACATGTCTAGCAGCAATGAATTTCTCTTTCTGCTGATGATACCAGTATTACCTAGACGAACTCTAATATTGCAACTCTTCATGCAATTATAACTTTTGATCAACTTAAAATAAATACCTGGTCCGACTCTGATTTACTATCTTTTAACGTGAATAAGACACTAGATTTATCCTATAAAGGAGCTCTTCAACCCTTGCTTCTTAATAATAGCCGGATCAGTATTGTTGATTCTGTAAAATTTCATGGTATTTTTACAGACAACAACCTTAAGTGGTTCCTTTATATCAATTTGTTAAGTAATAAACTAGTCTCAGCCTGCTATGCAATAAGATCTGTTCTAGAGGAAATCAATTTCCAATAACATATTTTTCTTTGTTCAAGTATCATCTTCGATATGGCCTTCCTTTTTGCGGTTCTAGTACAGCTGCCCAATCTAATGTTATTTTTAAATTACAAAAAAGAGCAATACGGTATCTTCTTGGACACAGAAGAATAACACATTGTAGAAGCTACTTCAAATATCATGGGATTTTTACTCTTCCCTCTTCGTATATTCTAGAAACTATTTTCTTAATTGGTAAATACCTACATGTTTTTCTAACAAGACCCAATCACGACTACTCCACCAGAAATTCAACCTTTGATTTATAATTATCGATCCCGTTCACTGACTTAGTAAAGAAATCTATATTATATTCGACAAATAAATTATACAATTATCCCCCTCTGCAACTTACCAAATTCTATCCTTAAGTTCCGTAAAATGACAAAAACTTATCTATCTCAAAGACCGTATTATTCAGTGGAAGAGTATTCTGGAAGATTGGTAACTAAGGATGAGTTATTCATCTGACCGCGGAAATCTATCCGAACATATATATATATATATATATATATATATATATATATATATATATATATATATATATATATATATATATATATATTGGATTTGAAATTTCCGCGGGAGCTATATGTGATTTCATGTGATTTCAGATGTTTTCCGGGTTTGACTCCGCGTTAAATAGTTTTGGTTTTTAGAAAAACCATTGTTTTGACCACGTTTCGGCAAGGTCACACTTGCCATTGTCAAGTCAGATTAGTTCTGCTTTGTCTTGATGTTTCAGGAGAACTAAACGAAGCAGAACTAATCTGATTTGACAATGGCAAGTGTGACCTTGCCGAAACGTTATCAAAACAATGGTTTTTCTAAAAACTAAAACTCTTTAACGCGGAGTCAAGACCGGAAAACATCTGAAATCATATATATATATATATATATATATATATATATATATATATATATATATATATATATATATATATATTTGTGTATCACATGCAGCAACTAAAACTTATTCGTAAACTATTTCGTAAGGTTTTATTATGCAACAATTAGATTTTGCAATGAATTGTATATTTTACTATCTTTTATCTTGTGATATTGACGATTTTTGTAATTTTAGTAAATTTTAATTGTTATTGTGTTTTTTTTTTTACTTTTTGTAAGCATTGTATAATTTTCAGTGACAATAAAGCATATTTCTATTTTAGAACCCTACCCGTTCCCTAAGGCTTAATGTGTTTTATATATTGTTGTATATGTGGTTTGTTGTTTATGTTGTGTTAAACAATGATTTATGGTTTTATTACGTTTATTAATATTTTCTTAAATACATATTCCTGAATTTTTATGTTTCTTCTGTCTACTGCTATGTCTAACGTGACATACTAATGTTGCCAACTAACAATTAAGCTGGAGTTAAACACCATAATTCACTATATTTTTTCAACGTATCACTCACTGGATAAGAGCAGAACATACTCAATACCCTGAACAGATTAATGTTTGGGGAAGAATTTTTTAAACATTTTATTGCTTGTGTGATATTTTAGTTTAAATAAAATATTATATAAAGTACTTTACGATTTTATTTACTCCATCTTTATCATTTTGTTAATATATATTTTTATAAATATATTTCTATACACTGAAAATTAAAATTATTCACTGTTTGTTGTTTCTCACTTATTCGAAATATTTCATGTTTACGATACTAAAAATAAAAGCAAGCAAAAGCAAAAGTCAAACCAACAGTCATTATTTATGCAAGTGAAAAAACTGTTTCAAATAACTTTTAAATATTGGAAGGTACGCCGCTGGCTTAAAAGGTAATGTCACAGTCTATCACCTCGTCTCTTTCCCCGCGCCTATAAACTTTTCGACTTCAAATTTAGGTGAACAGAGTGCAGGGCATGCCCAGTCCATCTTTATTTATACGTCCATGGTTTGCATATTTAAAATTCATGCAATATACGGTTAATTCAAGGTTGCCAGCAATTTTTACAACTGGGTACAACTTCCTAAACTGACATAGGAACTTTTGTTCAAAATTTCATAAGCGAATAAGCTTGAATTTACCCAAATACAAACAAACAATATTTGACTTATATTATTATTTCCTCCAATTATACTGTAGAAATGAGTCGTTATGTAGGACTCAGGTTTTTTTACCCACAAATATAGATAGCCACCTATCCGTTGGTCCATTAAGCTCAAAATAGCCAAAACTTGACTTATGAACTATTACCCTGCGACCACAGAATTACTAAAACTTAAAATATGCTAATAAACTTTTTGTTAATTCAACACATACAAAACATTAGCCATTCTCCTCCAACCCCTAATTGCTCAACCCCAAAAAATAAGTAGTTAGAGCAACCGTAAATAACAATTAGACATTACCATATAAATTGAACTCGCCATTAAAGTAAAATACTCTGAATTGTTTATTATTGTTTCAGACGTGCGTGCACTTAGGAACATGCAGATCCGAGTGCCGGAAGCTGTTAAAAGAGGAGATTCGGTAACGTTAGTATGCGACTACGACTTGGAATCTGCCGCTTTGTATACTATCAAATGGTACAGGGACGATGAGGAATTTTACAGATTTGTGCCCAAGGAGTCACCGCCCTCACAAGCGTTCACCGTTTCGCACGTTAACGTTGACGTGAGTAGTTTTCTTGAATCTGTTAACATTATGTAAGGGTCACTTGAGTGATGGTATCTATATTTTATTAGTATTTAGAACATGCAACAGTAACAAGGATTAACATAGTACTTTTTTAGAAACTGGTAATATTTTATTTAGCAGGCTTCAAATTTATTTTATTTTTAAATATATATTTAAATAATGCACGTTTATGCAGAGATAAACAAATTGAGCAATCAGTTTTGTTAATTTTTTGTTACTATTCAAATCACAATATTAATATAAAAAAGGGAATAATTAAATCCTTATACGATAGAGCTAAAATTACTTGTTCTAATGAAAATTCGTTCTTGGAGGAGAAACATTTGTTAACATCTGTTTTATTAAAAAATGATTATCCTTTACCGTTTATAAATAAGGAATTTTCAACAATCGATCGAATAGAACAGAACAACTTAGAACGAGATCCTACAGCATACACAAGGAATAATATGAGGAAAATAACAATACCGTACATAAAAGGACTATCAGAAATTACTTAAAAGGATAGGAAATAAATTCAACATTTCAACAACATTCAAAACAACAAACACGTTGAGATCTATTTTGTCCAAAACCAAACCTAACAATGAACAAGAAAGGACAAAGAATTGCATTTATAAAATACCTTGTGAATGCGATCAGTTTTATTTAGGTGAATCATCAAGGCCATTAAATGTTAGAATAAGTGAACATCAATCTTATATTAAAAATAAAGAATTTGATAGATCTCAAATCTGTAAACACGCATGGGATAATGAACATAGGGTTCAATGGAATAATTCAAATGTAGTCCTAAAAGAAACGGGTGGTAAAAAAAGAAAAATCAAAGAAGCGGCTCTAATTATGCTAAATGAGGCCAATTGTGTCGCAAATTCCTCGGCAGAATGTAGTAGGATTTGGTTACCAATATTGAAAGAGGAAGTTATTAATAAGAAAATACCAGTATTAGTAAGTCAGTAACCTATAGAGGATACATCATTTATGTTTTTTAAATAACGTAACATATAAAATCAGAATTTTGATGTTTGTTGAAGGTAAACTAAATTCACGAACAAATACTAACAATGTCGGGATAGTATTATGAGGTTTTTTTCCTGGTTTTCCCTCATAATTTACTATGGAATCACTAACAGGAGAATTTTACTGTCATCATGTCATGTGTTTGTCTTTTTAAAGACGAATTACATGCTATGATTTTTTTCTGACGGATATTCTCAAGTTAAAGTTGATTTCATGTAATCGAATGAACTATCTTATAAGTAAAGTCGTCCCAGGAGCGCAACTCAACAATATTGGCAATATCATTTTAAAGTCGTCTACTTTAAAATGCATAATGTATGTCTGAATTGTCAATATAAATGAGTCAGATAAAATTAAATCATTAGAAGAATTTTTCACTATGTAACAAAAAACAAAATTTGTTTAATTTACTGTTTGTATTTTGAGAACGATTTCCGAAGTGGAAATTAAAACGTCAATAAACGTATTTTTATCTTTAATTGTGGCTTATTCCCAGTTTAATAGTAATTAATTTACAATGCCACAAGAAAATAGCTTCAGAACAATATTGACAGACCTGTAACAAAATTGGTTTTTACTGCACTAGTTTATTTAAACTTTTTACTAATTAATAGTAAAAATTTACTATACTCTGTTTTTTAACCAGGAGGAGTAAACCAAAAAGACAGATTTTCATCCAAGAAAGTTACTAGAAAAGTCACCAAATACATCTTATTTTTTGTGGATTATCTCGGCCGTGCGGTAATCGAGTTATCAATATCGGACAACCTTACACGTCGATTCTAACCTAACTTTGTTTATTTATGTTTGAATAATAATTTTTTTCAATTCTCTTCTAATACATATTACAATAAAAAAAGACGTTTTTCACATTTGGTTCCATGTATATATATTTAAATATCAGTGTGTGGTATTTAATTATAATTTACAGAATATTTTGAGAGTCAATAGTATTACAGATCCAAGTATGGTTTTTCACAGAAATTTGTCTTTTAATTTGCAAATAGATCTTATATGCAACAAAGCTATGCAAATGCATGTATCAAAAAGTTGGTAAGAGTTCAAAGATTTCTGAAATACTGTTCTTTTAAACTGCCTAGACCATATTCTTATTCTGTTGTGATCAATTTCTTTAATCTAGGTTTTTTTCTTACCAGAAGAGTTAACTTTGACTCTGATCATTATTTTTAAGCTTAATAATCCAATCTCCTGAATTGCTTCAGCCAATATTTGTTTTATATCTTCCTTCCCGTTCACTGCTTTAGAATTAACTTTTTCGTGTTTCCCATCACAGAATAAATTATGGTTCAAATATAGGTGTGGTCCTACTTTTCTTGCATGGTAATCAGTTACCTCATTAGATAGATTTGTTTAACTTATGTGTCAATATCTTTAGGTTCTATTTAAAGCAGTAAAATGCAAAAAGATACTTTGTATAAATAACTGTGTACTTGCAATTTCTTTAATCCTAGATTCTTGTTTAATTTTGACAGTGAGTTTGTCCCATTTGTTATCAATAAATAAATTTACTAAAAAATACTAGATTTCTGTGAGATCATCTATTATGTTACATTCTAGAATAATCTTGCAGTTTTCTTCTGATGATTTGCAACCAGGAAGAACAAAACCAACTGTATCAATACAATCAAACTAAAACACAACATTACTTTACTAATGTTCTTTTATTGTGATGAAAACAAAATGAAAATTCTTCTTAACAAGTATACACTAAATTTAAAAGATAGATGCCGTTTTTTTTGATAATTCGATATAAATAACATACATTTTAAACTACATTTAGTATAAATATCATCTAGGAAAAGATCACATTAAATACTATTCGCATATCACCAAGTCCAAGTTATTACAAACAACTTAAAAAGTCAGAAATATATTTATACATTAGAGGATAATAATATTCTGTGCATAATATACATTCGGGATGTATGTAAAAATAAAAATTTAATAATTTTATTATAGTCTTCCAAAATATACTCTCCATTTATGTCTTGGTGAGGTTCATTAACAACTACACCATTTTGAATTTCTTCGTTTCGTTTTTTAGCAAAAACTAAATATGTTTCAGATATTTGAGCAAGAAAATTTTGTTTTTAGTCAGCAGCTCAATGTATAAACCATTCGTTGAATAATTTCACCTAAAAAATAACTATGGCAAGACTCATAATGTTATACTCATAATCTATGGTTATGCTATACAATATTTGCTGCAATGAATCTGCTTATATGTAAATAGTTCAGTTAAATTGTATTTTTGCTAGGAAAGTTTTGGGGTAGTTCTGATTTTTTTCATTCCATATGTGTTTTGGGGTGTCGTGACGCAACATTAAAAAAAAACAGAATAAACCGTTTTTTTTTCTTCTTTTCTCGGGTTTTTTGCTTAAAACTCGAAAACTATCAACTTTTGGTAAATGGTCTGTTTACAGAAATTAAAGTAATTGAAATTTTCTACAAATACCAGTATTTAGTTTTTTTTTTCAGACGAATCGTTCGGTTTCTAGTGCGAGTTGAAAATTGTAAATTTTTAGCATTTTATGCAAAACTCACTTTTAACATTTCAATATTTAATTTTTATGGATGCTGTCATTTGATAAATATCACCTAGTTTTCTACACAAGTAATTAAAAAGCAAAAAGGGAAAAATTATGCAAATTCAGTAGGTAGGTAGAACTCGTAACAAAATAAAACTTGAAATCTCGTTACTTATGATCATATATTATTATGATTATCAATTATAATATGAAAAATTTATATGAGCCGTTGTCTTTTGGAAGGCCCTGGCTGAGGTTCTTCGATAACGATGAGTCCTGGTTCTGCTTGTTCTGGAAAATAAAAGTTTAAAGTTAAGTCATTTATCAAGAAGAGATGAAGATTGCAAAATAGATTGTGAGATTAAACATACCTTCCGCATCGTAGTGAGGTTCTTCGATGGCATCGGGTCCTGGCTCAGGGTCTGATTGCTCCATCGTCCGCGTCGGGAGTCGTTCTCCTGGAAAATAAAAAGAGGAGAGACACATATCATATATCAAGGACAGATGAATGACTACAAAATAACTTATCAGATCCAATATACATCTCCCTCTTTTTTCAGTTTCTTCTACGTCTATGTCAGAGCTGTCTTCTGCGGGCTCAGCATTGTTACACAGTCCTTCGTATGATGCGCACATTGGGGAACAATGGAGTCCCGCCTTCCTACATCCACAATTGCGTTGACAGCCCTTTTTACATTTACATGAAATGTACCGGAGTATTGAGTTTGGTGCAGGGTCCAAAGTAGTTGGTACTGGCACAAGACCACTACTAGCTTTTTGCCATCTCCACTCACTTGGGTCTTTTTGTTACTCGTTAGGTGTGGCTTGACCGGATAACTACTGCTGCACCTGATAGTAAACTCTCAGTGAATGTTCTCGTGCAGCAGCTTTAGTTGGGGGCAATGAGGAAATGTTGGTCTTATTTTTGAATGATGAAGATACGTATTGTTTATATCTTAAATCGTTTAGTTTTGTCCCTTTTTTTTCATATAGAGCCATGAGAAACATGTTTCCTGCTGTGGCAATCTCATCTTGACTTGAATTAGGGTATTTGAAAGATTCAATTACCGATTGCAAATCTTTTTTTTTCTGCAGGACTTTAATAAATTTCAGTTTCCCTTAATTAAACAATGCAGAAGTAGTATTACAACCACTCGTCGCATGCAGGAATAAAATATGATCCAATAGGATTTTCTCAGCAGCCAGATGAGGGTTGTAGAGGCTTTGCGAAACCTTTCCTTTTCCTGGCTTCAAAAAAATACATTTTTTATATCAGGGCTACAAAGGCCAATTAAAATGACCAGTAAGTCGATATCTTCTCCCGCCACTGTCACATGTTTATTTGACGGGGCCATCTCAAGAGCTGTTGAGATAATTAGGATATCAACATCTTCCACAGCTTGCTTTGAATGAATTTTTGCATCATGAAGTTTCTCCATTAAC